CACAGAGCAAATCCCACTTAGTTTAAAATTTACATCTAATACATTAAAAATCCCAGTGATCAGCCAAAACCAGAACTAAAATGCACTCAAGAGTGTTCCCAACTCAAAATATTACCAGTATTCGGTTATTCCAAGAGTATTAGGTGGTGGAAACTGGAAAGAGGCAAAGCAAAGTCAACTACACGATACACAAGCAATGAACTAGCAACACCAGCCAGGAAAGATGCGGCTTGAAATTCAGAGATCCCCTGAAAGTTAAACGTCACCAGTACTGAGACGTGTTCAACATTCTTAATCTGGCAGAATTTACAAACAGAAGTATATGTGGTTTGCTCCCAGCTTTTCTTGAAAATCAGAGTGTCAAGGACGAGCAGGAATATAAAATAAAGGAAGAAAGCCAAGCTTAGGAAGTCCTAGCCAAAGACTGTGGGGTGCCAGCTTAAAACCAGTCGCTGCATGAGACTGCCCAGCTAGAGAAAAAGCCAGCATCGACATAACCCAGAGTACAAAGCCAAAAAGAGATGGGCAGCTGCAATCAGGTACAACTGTTCTGAGCAACCCTTAAAAGAACATATTCAGAGCTGTGCACTGATTCAACAGAAGACAAACAGGCCTCTCGACACCCCGTAGCTGCAAGCTACAGATGGGCAAAAACATGCTCTAAGCTCAGCTCACCTTTCCATTACAGACAGATCCGACACCTCGACAAAACCTCCCGGTAAAGCAGAATCAAATACAAACACACGAGTGTAGAAATTTAGGGGGAAAGGAGATAACAGCAAAGCTCTCCTGCTGCTTCATAAATACGTTTAATCCTAACATGAGAACTGGATGGTGACATTATTTGGTTTTCACTTCTCTCATACACCTAAGTGGGATAATTAGCAGGTCCTAATTAATGAACAGACTGCAATAAGATGTTATTCTGTCCTTCTCAAAAGCATTATTAAAGCACCACTGTTATTATGAGGTACTTGTCCATGACTGCATTTGCAATCACGATTGCAGGTAAGATGGACGCAGCTACCCAGCCCACCGCCCCGTCCCATTCACGTCGCTGATTAGCTTGTGTTGGACAAACCCAATTACAGATTGGGGTCCCACAGGAGACTTGCAGACACGATGGGAATGAAAGGTTACTGTGCAAATGCTGAACTGACTTCACATTACAATGACACCAGTATAATGGAAACCAGCCAGGGAAAGAAAGTATTTAGAGAAAAGGCTTTACTGTGGCTGTAGAAGAAAAGCAAATACTACAACTAAGCAGGGCCTGCATTTCTTGTTTTTAAACGCATCTGATTTATAGCACGGGGTTTCGAGCTGTCCTGTTAAGAAGGCACTGCATTACGCACGGCGATGCCCCGCTGGCAGGGTGCCCGCAGGAGGCAGCGACAGATTGCGACGGCAACTTCTGAGGAGGGAGGGACACGGAGCAGCAGGTGAGCGCTGCAGCAGGCCCCTCCGGTCCACGGCCGGGAGCGCGGCTCAGGAAGAAGCACAGGCCACGGCGGGGCTACGCGACAAGCTCCTCACCCGGCCGGCACCGAAGGGCCAAGTGCTGGAGCCTCGCGACAAGAGCCGCGCACGGAGACGGCCCTTAACCCGAAGAGCTTACGCAAATCAAAAAACCCAAGAAGACACGAAACCCAAAGCACTGAAACAAACTGCTTTCTTCTTTTGAAACGGACTATTCTTCAAGGACAGACTGAAGAAAGAAAAAAAAAAAAAAAAAACAAACCCTCACTTTTTAAAAAGTCTTAGTGTTGAAAATACAGCTTGAGGAGTAAAGGGAAGAAGGATGCTAGCAGTAAATCTGAATCAACCGGCTCAGCACTGGATGATTGAAAAAATTCCATCATTTCCTCCATTAACCATTCCCCAGCATCAGATCCCCGGGTCTGCAGCAGCCAGGGCACCTGTCTGGAAGAACAGATTTTAAAACCCTGCCTTTTTATGCATAATTCCCAATTCTAGCCTTAGCTCCACAACAAGAGGGAGCATAAAGGCTCAGCCACATTTTAAAGGCTGATAATGTCTGAGGTGGTTTGGTTATCATCTCAGCTGTCTCCTGACGTTAAAAGGTGTAAAATAATTTTCCTGAAGAATCTGGGGCAGTTCTTACAATGGCAACAACAAAAAATGAGAAGCTGAAATAAATCCAAAAGATAGATAAAGGATTAAATTCAAATTGCATGAACAGTCTTACATCCAATGTTTCCTAACTTTAAGCTGCAAAGTCAAAATTAGACAAAAAAAAAAAAAAAAAAACGACGTTTGCAGGCCTGGTTTATAAAAGATACACGCAACTTCCGTCAGTGAGAGAAATCTGCAGCATCACAGTTGCCATGACTCCCGAGGGAGCTGTATCACAAAGCTCGTACCTACTTTAGCTGTACATGCAGGAGCTGAGGCATTCAGGAAAGCCTCCTGTCCTTCTAGAACACAGTGTAAGGCACGGGGGGCCTGGCTAAAGGGGTTTTAGTTACTGAACTTTAGCAGAAGATTCTCCAAAATACCTGCAGGCCTTATTCTGACAGGAGATCACCGATTGCCTTCCAGGGGAAAGAAAAATGGCTTATATGGGCAGATGTCAGGTGCTGCCACGTATGAGCTTCCCAGTCCAGCCTGAGAAACACGGATGAAGTCTTGGCCAAGTTCTGGTGACCAATAAAAATATAAAAACTTTGAGCAGTCAATTGTTATCTTAACAGGAGGATGAACAGGCACACAGAGGGCACGTACAGGCCATGGCCCCATCAGCTTAGTGAAAAATCTGGACTACAACAGTGATCTCCCGGATCCCTGTAGCTCCTTCTCTGTCCTGTAAACAAGCACGCTCGTAGTCACGGCCCCGAATCGCACCACCTCTCCCTTCACTGCTTTCTGCTTTTCGCTTGTGTTCAGCTGATGCACGAATTCACCGTTTCACCCTTGGATCCAGCCTGAGGCCCTTCCACACCAGTTGTGCCAACTCGGGGGCTTCAGCCCGGCTTTTGCTGGCGTTTCGCAGCTCGCTGAGCAGTCGCCTCGTTACGAGGCGGGCAGCGGGTGGAGAGAGAGACGAGCCCCTCGGTACCGGGTCTGGATGGCAGGGGGAATCTGCTTCCCCGCCGCTCGGAGCTCGACTGCAGCTCAGGCTTTGTCACTCGGCCCGGGTGCCGTGCGGTCAGCAGGAGCCTGCCCGAAGCTCTGCCGGCCCCAACAGCGCTTGGATTTCAACTGCCACGGGAACGTGCCAACCAGCGTTTCCAAAACAAGCTCAGTCACTCAGAGCTGCTCTTAAAAAATAAAAAAAAAAAAAAAAAAAACAAAAAACAAAACAAAACAAACAAAAAACAAAACAAACAAAAAAACAAAACAAAACAAAAAAACACACACACAAAAAAACCAGCAACAACAACAACAAAAAAAAAAAAAGAAAAAAAAACCAAAACCAAACAAACCCAAACCAACAGTTGAGTCTAGGGAGTGCTGAAAGGATGAGAGCAACTGGGTATTATTGAAGTCCTGTGCAAATGCAGGTTGGGCCAACTTACAGATGTAACGTATGTACCAGTTTATTCACAACCGAAATGCCGCCCTGAGCCAGGAATCCTTCAACTCTGTACAGTTTACCTGGGCAAAATGTTCAGGAAGAGCTTTTCTGTTTTGCATGGATCTGCTACAAGAATTCTGCTCCCTTGAATACAGCAGTTAGAAAAGGAAAACAAAAAGTTCTAGCCGACAGTGGAAAGGCTTTAAAGAAATGGTTTTTTTAAAAAGATGCTGCCTTTAAGCTTCCCCTTTATTTTGTAGCATCATGCACCAAAGAACATTACTTCTGCAGGCACAAGTTCATGCAGAGAACACCACTTTCACTAAAATAGACGTACTTCAGGTTATGCAACACTCATTAAAATTACAAAACCTCTCAAAAACCTGACCAGCATGTTAAGGCGCACTTGAGCTCTATGTTTGTTAAGTTAGTGGCTGCATCATGCAAACTGCCGGCGAGGAACTCCACAGAAATAGGAACAGGAACAAACTTTCATGCCTGATGACAAGGCAAAAACTAAGAGCACCTAAGGGCAGGGAGAAACTTCCCCAGCCCTTCCCAGCAGACAGGAATTCACTGAGAAGACGCCGATGCTTTCTGAGGAAAGCTTAGAATGAGCAGAAGTACGAGAAGGTTTTTCACTTCATCTCTATCCATACTATAGTCTCCATTTCAAAATTCCTACAAACTTCATTAAATTCTACGAAATTAATTCCAACTCATTTCCTGTGAGTACAGCCTATGCTCAACAGCCAGGGTAGAGAGCCCAAAACTCTCACCAGTCCATCCATAGCCTCAACTGAGAGATACAGTCTTCATATATATCAGTCCTGCTACTGTTTTGTTACAGCTCTGCTTTAGTAAAGGTTATTATTCTAGAAGGAAGCACTTTTTGTAGATGCAGCTGTTCAAAGTAGCTTAAGATAAAGTCATTGACCAGTTGCAGGAGGAAAAGTAGATGGTTGCAGTTAGCCTGAGGTAGGATGAAACCCAAACCCTGCAACATGACAGCGATGGAGAACATTTCCTACCACAGAAATACTCGGTTCCCTGCCCGCCAGTGGCACACAGTGCTACTTAGTGATCATGGCAATTCACCCCTGCACCCCAGATGAAGGTCACTTCCAGTCTCAGAGGACAAGAAGCTATTGTACCTTAACACCAAAAAGTGCAATTTATATATGTACAATTAAATCTGAATGAATTAAAAAAAAACAATCAAGAGTTCTGGAACTTAGACCAAGCTGTCAATCCTTCGAACTCTGGGAATTAGCACTGTGAGACAGGCAAGCAGAACCAACAACAGCCTTTTAAGGTCAGCCAAAAAACCCAGTCATGCCACACTCGCTTGTGCCATGTAGGATTAACGATTACGTATTCATGCCAACGCACTGACAAATAGCAGGGTCTTGCACGCAAGCTGTCTGGATTACTGCTGCTAGCTCGAATCACAAACACACACCTTTTGCTTGCCTCTGCCGGCTCATACCAGTGGGTTTCAGCTGCCTTTGGTTCTCTCTGTCCGGAGCAGCAGACCTGGCTGGCAGAGTTGGCACCCCTCTCGCCTTTGTGGGTCTCATGTAGCCTTTTAGCTGTTCTGCTGCTTTAACTCTCTCTTTCTTTGCCTCCTTCACAGCTTTTTGTTCACGTTCTTCTTCTTTTTCTTTAGTTGTGTCTTGAGGTTTATCTACTCCAGGCTTCAACGCCGGGGCATCCTTCAGACAAGCTTCCCCACCCTGAGCAGCATCCTCTTCTGCAGGCTGAGCGTGACCTTTATTGTCATCTTTAGGACTTATTTCGCGTGTTTGGGCAGCTGTCAGATTTAAACCAGCAGCCTCTGCTTCGGCCGCTTCGTTGTCCAAACCGGGCGGGTGTTTCCATGAGCCCTGCTCACTCTCCTTGCCTCCATCCAGCTCAGCTGCTTCAGTTTTATTCTCCGTCAGTGCTTCTGCCACAACCTGCGACACGGCTGCTTCTGCTTGGCTCTCTGGTATCGCCCCAATTTCTGGGGAGACGCACCCGATGCCCTTCTCTCCTGAAGAGCCGGTTCCTTCCAGTTTCTCTATCCCCTGGGCACCCAGAGGAGCTGGTCTGCTTTTTGAATCTGCCGCCTTCTGGGGAAGGTCTGAAGAAGTGTTGTCAGCGTTGTGCTTTTTATCAGCGGTTCTTATTTCTTTGTCCTCCACCTTGGCCACGGGAGAAAGGTGAACTTTGTCCTTCTTTGACTTAACGTGCCGCTCAACTGACCGATCCAACGGAGGTGGTTTACCTGCCCCACTGCCATCCCGGGAACCAGCCGCTTTGCTTTCACCATCTTTCTTTGAAACCTCTTTGCCAGGCTCTTTGTCCCCCAGATAGATCGGTTGCTCATAGGATTTCTGTGTCTGTATTTCCTTCTTAGCACCAGATCCGGGCTCTTTGCTGCTTTTCTCTGCTACTGCTTCAGGAGGAGGAGGCCCTTTACTCTTTGCAGCCTCACCTGTCTGCTCTGGGAAGCCAGAGGAAACACTGCCAGTGTCCTCAGGGCCAGTTACTGCAGTCTGAGCAAAGGATTCGAAGTCGCTTCCTTGAGTATTCCAAGGCATTTGAGGGCCAAGGGGAAAGTTTTTAATATTTCTATTTTCATCTACGAAATCCGTGCCCACCATTCCATACTCCATCTCAGATCTCACGGGAGGCTGCACCTCACTCCTGTTTGGTTTTGTCTCTACAGAAACAGGCTGCTCGGAGGCATTTTTAGCCTTTTTACTATTTCCATCATGACCCCTCTTTTTAGATCTATTGGTAATTGTGGCCAAAGTGTGATCTGCCACTGCTGGATGCTCTAGGATAGGAAGTCCACCCCTGCTGCTGCAAGGAGTGGGACATTCTGCTTCAGATTTGTCAGCCATCTCCAAGTTATAAGGAGGGAACATCTCTGCACCTGCCTTATCCTCCAGAAGAAATGTCTGCTGCGACTTAGGCTCCATCTTTTTGCACTTCTCTTTACTACTTGTGCGTGATTTCTCTGGCTCCAGAGGTACAGCAGGAGCTTGCACTTTACTAGTATCAGTTAGGTCATCTAGCAGACTCACTACGGAACTGGAATAAGTCTCTTTGCCTTTATCAAAAGACTGAGTTTGTTTAATATTTCCCACCTTGTCACCTACTGCAGGGGTGTTACCTGGACCCAGTCCAGCAGAGGGCTCAAGAATATTTTCAGCCTTTTTGACTTCCACATCTCTACCTTTTTTCTTAGGCTTGTCCATCACCAGTTCCCCGGTGGGACTGTGTGCCACAGCTGTGTCTCTCCTGTGCTCTGGGAGAGGCTCGGATGTATCTAGTTCCTTACCTTTATTCCTGGGCCAAGTTTCTTTAGTGCTGACTATTTCTGGCTCTGATGTCTCCATTTTATGACCTGAAAGAATCGGCTGATCAGAGAAGGTTCTGGTGCCACCCTGTATTTCAGGCTTTTCCAGCACCTCTTTGGCTATACCTGTCAGATTCTCTAGCAAAAGCTCTCTTTCAAAACCAGACACCTTACCTTTATCAAAGGTCATTTCTTTTGTGCATTCAGCCGCCTTCTCCTTGCTTGGAAGACTGCCTCTTTCCACCCCAGCATCCAGGACAGCTGCCTGCCCCAAAGGACTTCTTTCAGGTTCTTTTCTTTTCCCATCACTACACCTCTTCCTAGGTTTGTCTGCCACCAGGGTTCTATCAGAATTTATCGCAACCGATTCACCTGCAGAACTAATTCCAGCCTCTCTGTCTTTATTAATCAAATTTACCTCTTTTGTTGGGCTGATCGTGTCAGCCATAGCAGGATGCTTTGCTTCCTCTCTCCTACTCTCCAGCGGGAACGGTTGGTCTAAAGCACCCAAATCAGCTATTGCATTTTTCCCAACATCTTCTTTCGGCTTCCCTCTTACCAATTCAACTGGCCTTTGCATTTTAGTTACATCTGATATATTCTCCTGAAAATACTCAGCAGTAACACAGCCCCTCTGTCTGCCTTTATCACTAACTTCCTTAGTTTTATCAACGACGTCAGGAAAACTACTTGGGTCCATCTTATTCTCAAGAAAAGGCTGCTGGAAAAAACTTCTTTCACCTCTTTTACTTCTTCCATCACCTCTTTTTTTTGGTTTGTCTGCAGGATAAGCATGTGTAGTGCTTACTGACGGGTGTCCTCTAGCAGTGAAACCTCTGCCTTTATCAGGGTGAGTTGTTTCTTTTATAGCCTCATCTGTCCTCACTCCATCAGTAGGTTTGCTTACATCATCTGAAAGCATCATCTGCTCAGAGAAGCTTTTAATTTTTTTCACTTTCCCTTCACCACGCTTTTTTTTATGTCTGTCCATCCCATGTGCAATATTGGGATCTTTTCCAGTCTGCTGCTCTAACGCAGTAAATCCTTTCCCTTTGTTTTTATCAGGGGAATCTGCTACCGTCATTCTGGCCACTGCTTCAGGAGAGGTGGGAGGCCCGGTCGCGTCAGGCTTAGCCGACAGAGGAAACGGCTGCTCTGAAAATCCGCCAGCCTTTCTGTTTTGCAAAGCAGTAACTTCCTTGGCTGCTGGTAAAACTACTGGTGTGGCAGGCATTTCAGTAGTATCTGCCGGGGTCTTCAGCACTCCCTCGGAAGTTCTAAAGTCAACGGCCAGGCACTTATCAGAGGACACTGTTCTCGTTCCATCAGCTGCCTCTGGCCCGTTGGGCAGCTCAGCCGGCAGGGCCGCAGCCTCGGCGCAGGATCCTTTTCCAACTCCTTCACTTTTTTCACAACTACCTCTTTTCTTTGCTGCTGCTTCCGGCGACCCGCTGGAAGCCTGCAGCTCGCGATGGCCAGCGTCACTGAACGCTTCACGCCTGGGAGATGTGCATTGAACCTCCTTATCTTTATCAGAAAGGAGCGATTCTGAAGGTTTGGTCTGTAAAGGAGTTTCTGTTTTGCTTAGACTGGTCGCTTCTGGGAGAGATGCTGTCAGGTCAGCACATTTTGACTCCTTGTACTCCTCACTTTTCTCAAGAAAATCTCTTCCCGTAGGCTTGGCTGGCCCTTTTGCTGTAGCAGATTCCCCTACCTTCATCTTGCCTACCTGCTCCACGGGAACCTCTCTTCTTTTGCCTTTAGATTGCAACATCAAACTGTCATCTCTCATTTCTTCTGTTTTCATGACATCCTCACTTTTTGCATCCAGCACGGATTTTAACGACACGCTGGGTTTTTGGGCCTGCTGTCCTGGTGCTGGCACCGAGGCGGCCTTTTGCTCATCCAGGATAGCACTTCCAGTTGTTATTTTAGGGTCCTCTGGCAAATCCGAAGCTCCGCTTCCTGAGGCAACTGAGTGCTTTTTGCAAGCTTCAGCAGGCATTACAGGACACACAGCTGGTTTTTGCAATTCAGCAGCAAATGGAGAATTTCTAGGAGCTCTTGAGACTGCTATATTTTCATCCCAGAACTCCATTGTTCTTGGCAGCTGGTTTCTCTTCTGTTTTGGTTTCTTCTTCTTTTTCTTCACAATGGCCAGAGAACCTTCCAAATCCCAGCTCTCCCTTGGTACATCTCTGCAGCTCTCCACAAACTCCGACAGCACACTGGATGGCTGCTCAGTTGCCTTTTTATGTGAAACCCTAGTGCGAGGGGATGTTCCAGCAACACATCCACGTTCCACTACAGAACAGGGGTCTACTTTTGGGTCAGTACTCTTCTGTTGTGGGAGACCTATTAGACGTTCCTCTGGTACATCTCTAATAGGCACTGGGGCAGGTTTTGCTCTGCCAAACCTGCGTTCACTTGATTTGTTAGCTTGCCTTACTTGTGCAGTAGGTAGACCTGGAATACAGGAAGCCTGCTCAAACATCAAAGCGACTATTTGCTTTATATTTAAAAAAAATAATATATATATATACACTGTATATGTGATTTTAGCTATCTAAAACAGTCCATACAGTCATATATGCAGAATTTTCCAGCACTGATACCACACTAATTCTAAAGACACCTCAGTAGGGCTGGGATAGACATTTACACGCAAAACCTATTTAAACTACTACCGATAAATACGTCAATGCTATTTAAAAACACGTAATTCCTGATACATGCTCTTATCCCATCAAAAAAGCAACAGTTCTTGTAAGGACATGCTGCTGCTTTTTAAAAAATGCATTAAGGATCCATTTTGTCTTAGCAAGAGAAGATAACAGATACACTTTTTATATCTCTAGCTGGCATCCTTCCAAAATGTGAAAATAGAAGTTTAGTGGAAAGATGAGAATAGGGAAGAGCGAAGGGGCGTAACGGGGAAGGGGGAGTAGAAGAGCCAAGTTTCCCCCAGCACCCACAGTGGCAGCAGCGGAAGGCAGAACCCCCGTAACAGAAGTCATCTGCTGTACTCCGTTATCGGCAGCGCTAGGTTTCCTTAGCTACAAGCCACTGATTTTAAAGAGAGCACCAGTCGTTTGTCAGTTAGCCCTGGCCCACAAATCAGCCTCCAGTCACAAGGGTAAGCAATCAGAGCTCATCAGGGAGGCTGGGTTAGTGGAGCAGGAAAAAAATTACATCTTCCTTTGGTAATTACAAAACTCAATTTGGAAGGAGGTCTTCACTAGGAATACTGTAATAAGAATTAATGGTCCTTTTTAATACCAAAATAAAAAGCTAGATGTAATGGCAAAAAGATGGTAAGCTTTTAAATTCCACAGCAGAAAAGATGTAAGCCAGTCCCAGTGATAAAGCACTAGTAGCACCCACGTTTGCGCTTTTAGTCCAGTGAACATGGAGAGGAAAAGAGTATTTAGGAGGGCAGGGACTGGGGGCAAAGTGCAAGCACAACCACCAGTGAATGCAAAGAACCACACAGCTGCTTTGTGCAGAAAAGATTTCTGCTTGCTCAGGTGGCAACACAGTCAGGAGGAAAAGGTGAATAGTTCACAGAGGGTATTTCCATTCAAAAAGGGAATTGTTATTTATAGTCTACCTGTGGGCTCTTGCAGGGCTTTTTCTTGGTGAGGTTCTGCATGTTGGACATGGTTGTGTTCAGCCTCTTCCTTTTGTTTCTCTGTAACAGTAACATCCACAGGAGTAACAGATTTTTCTGGAATGAGGTCTGTGTTTTCTAGTGCAGCGGCTTCTTTTGCTTCTACTGGAGCTGAAACGTGAAAAATATGAACAGAATGCTTCAGTTCTTTAAACTGCAGGTTGTCCGTATTTATGAGGCAAGCCCTTGGAAAGGGTATAGCTTGCATCTGATTTTTAATAGGAATGAAGTTTATAAGATATGGTTAGCCTCCTACGTATGATCTCCTCACAAGCCCATTTAAAGCAGTAATTTTATATATTGGGCAGACAAGCCAAGGTGGAAGTAAAACACGAAGCAAAGACTGTCTTGGGGCTTAAGCACAGCGTGAAGGTTTGGGTTTGGTTTGGTTTTTTCCCCCCCCCCCTTCTTTGTAACCAACCAAATTCAGACTGTACTAATTTCCCACTGGAATTCAAATCCAGAATATACTTCATTATAGTCTGGAGTCCCTGTCTAATGTTAATCATCTAGGATTCATAGATACCTTAGAATATACTCATGCAGACACTACAAAATTCCTAGCTACACGTAATTATAACAAGTTTTAATTTGTAAGACATAATTACATTGGAGAACAGTTTTATATGTAATTAATTTTATTTAAATTTTAAATAGAAGTTATGACAGACATTGGTACAACAGCTACTGCACGAGAAAGAAAAAGACGAGTTATACCAAAGTAATTCCAAGTGTTAAGACTACCGCCTATTTGTAACAGTCCCCACGTTAGCACACACTAATAACCACCCTGAAATTAAACCTGTGCTGCTTTTGCCTTGGTAAGGGCAGGAGGACAGTGTCTGTGAGAAAGCACTCAGGCCGGGGGGCAGAACTAGCCGACAGCACAGTCCTGGCTCCAGTCTCGTGCTGTGGTTTGCGTTTCTCACCTGCTGGGTCTGAAAGACGGTTCGCCCGGGCTGGGAGCTGCTCTGCGCGGTGGCCGGGAGGAGGTCTGCTCGCCTGGGCTTTCTCTAAAAGAGCAACACAAGCTTCTGGGACTCCTGATTCTTGTTCCACATGCGCAGTTGCTTCTGCAGACGGAATGTAAAGAATAAAAAATGGTGTTGCTTTCAAATTTGGATCAGACTAAGCAAGACAAAAATCACGTCCTCACCTAATTCTTCTCTTCCACACCAAACTAAAGGTTTCCCTTGCTTTCAGAATGGTGGTAATCTGCTTTTTAGGATCACTTTCTACCAGCTCTCCCCTCCTGAAAGCTTAAGTGTTCTCCTAAAGCATACCCTTCCTGTATTGTCTGCTATTTCCTTTTTCATTCACGCACCTATGCCTCAATTACTACATTCTAGTAGGGGTTTTTTTGTCAAAACTCCTCTCTTTTGAAATTTATTCCTATCATTAAAGAGTATTAGAAAGTAAGAAGGAAAATGTCTCACTCCAACTCCTTCTGCAATCAATCCACATACGCTGCCTCTGCCCAGTACCATTTGCTGTATTTTGACAATAATTTTCTCTCCGAAAGTGTCTTTTGAGAAATCTATGCAGCACAGAAAAATCTATTGTCCACCACGTGGAAAAAATGAAAATGCCCGCCTCTCTGCTTTGACGCCTATGGTCATTCCAGGGAAATGTCACCAAATTATCAACAAAGCCTATCAGTCTATTCAGAAACCATTTTCAAGATGAGAACCTTTGTTTGAGAACACTGCATCCTACACAATCGCTGGAGATTTCAGTTTAAGCCGAGGGTGATAGCGATGTAAAAATAAGTTACTAACAGGGATGAACTAAAACGTCTCTATGGCTGTCCTAAAAAACATACATCACTGCTTAGAAGGCAAGTTAAAAAAAAAAAAAAAAATCATTGAGATATTCTAGTTTTGTATTTTATAAGCAAAAAATCCTCGTGAAGCACTTCCTCCCTCTGTATCTTGACAGCAGAACTGGTCTTTGCTTAAAATGTTTTGCGTGAGGCATATCATAATCTTACTGACTAAAAAAAAAATATGCTTTTTCTTGGAGAGCCTTGCGACAACTGGGCGTCTGCGTAGCCACCACTGTGTGCTACGAGGAGTGTTGCTGCTAGCCCTGTGCCAGCTTACGGTGGCCTTCCCACACCTCTTGCCATGCTATCGCAGGCCCGAGCCGCGCCATCGGGCATGCCGCTCACCTGCAGGAGGCTCGTCCAAGGGCGGCTTCTCCTGCTCAAGAGAAGACTCAGATGTCGTCAGCTCTTCAGAGGCAGCGACCGTGGTGTCAGCTGCAGAGACAGGCTTGGCTTCTGTAGTGGCAAACCCAGAATCCATGGCAGGAAGAGGCTCGGCTGCTGCTGCAGGGGCAAGCCCAGAGTCCACGGCAGGATGATGGTTGACTTCTGCTGCAGGGGCAAACTCTGCGTCTGCTGCTGGTGCGAACTCAAAATCCATAGCATGATGGGATTTAGGGCCTGCTGCCGGGGCAAACGCCAAACCCACAGCATGGTGAGGTTCCACATCTGCTGCAGGGGCAAACTCAGAATCCACAGCATGGTGATCTGCTGCCAGGGCAAACTCAGAATCCACAGCATGGTGATCTGCTGCCGGGGCAAACTCAGAATCCACGGCATGATGATCTGCTGCTGGGGCAAACTCAGAATCCACAGCATGGTGATCTGCTGCCGGGGCAAACTCAGGATCCATGGCATGATGATCTGCTGCTGGGGCAAATGACAAATCTACAGCATGGTGAGGCTCCACATCTGCTGCTGGGGCAAACTCAGAATCCACAGCATGATGATCTGCTGCCGGGGCAAACTCAGAATCCACAGCATGATGATCTGCTGCCGGGGCAAACTCAGAATCCACAGCATGATGATCTGCTGCCGGGGCAAACTCAGAATCCACAGCATGATGATCTGCTGCTGGGGCAAACTCAGAATCCATGGCATGATGATCTGCTGCCGGGGCAAACGCCAAATCCACAGCATGGTGAGGCTCCACATCTGCTGCCAGGGCAAACCCTGTGTCTTCTGTTGGGGCAAAGTCCCACTCTGTAGCATAACGGGACGCAGCATCTGCTGCTGGGGCAAAGCCAGTATCTGCCACTGGGGCGGCTGCTTCACTGGTGGCATTCGGGGGCTTGGCTTCTGGTGCAGGAGCAAAGGCAACCTCCATAGCCTGAAGAGGGCTGGCTTCTGCTGTACATGCAAATCCGGCACCCAGGGCTTGAGGAGGCTTGGTGTCTCCTGCAAGAAGGGAGCCAGCTTCTTCTGCAGAAACAGACGTGACATCCGAGGCAGGAACACACGCTGCATCTGCTGCAGAAACACAGAGCACAGAACTCAACACAACCCGGACAGAAAGTAAATACCTGACACTGTGGTTCTAGGACTAGAGAAGGTGGGGCTTTCACCCCATGTCTGTCGTCTCGTCCTTCAGCATCACCTACCCCCCCCTTCCACCAGTGCACTCAAGTTGTACTGGACTTTATGACACTCCTCAATGTACCCAAGTGCTTTTCCTACTACAGCCTCACGTGCCTTGTTTTGTATCCTTGACTACAGTGTTAGTGTCTGCTCCTAATGTCCAGCAGCCAGAAGACAGATGTGTTGTTTTCCTTTAAAAACTACCTGATGCCACGCAGCTGGCAAGAGAGCGGAGCTGCCAGATCCACTGCCAGCAACACATTCCAACAGAATATGCACAGAAAGCACAATGAGGGTTTTATCCTCTATAGCAGGACACAGAAACTTCTGGTGCCACCTTTATGAGCCCAGCTGTGTATTCCAGCAGCAGAAAAAGCCCTGAAACATTCCAGAGCCACACGCACTTCATTTTAAATATTGTTTATGCTGTTCACGGGTGGTATGGTGCTGCAACTTGAGCAGAAGCACTGGCACTCTCGACACAAAAGACGCAGCCATCCAGTGAATCACCGACTGCCCTTTATTCTTTCATGCCCAACTTGGCCTTGTTCATGTTTTACATAATATCTACTACACGCTCAGCTGTTGGTTTCAGAATAACATTTGCCAGTTCACAGTACAATCAAACCTCTGCATTTTAAGTTAGGGTTTTCATACAATCCCCTTAAAGGAGGTTTTTCAGTCAGTTTTAGTTTAACATTTCAGCTGTCTAGAGGCAAAGTTTTTACAAATTATCAAAAGCCAGAAGCACTAGATTCCTCTTCTGCAGCTATTAATTTCAACAGCCCCAAGCACTACCCATACTCTGGGTAATGCAGCACAGTGACCTGAACATCTCAGATCCATTGCTCAGTAGATGTTAAAAAAAAAAATTAAAATTTCTACTGATTGTCTGAGACACATTTAAAAATATCCTCCCCAAACAACGCAAAAAATATAGTAAATTTTAATTTAGATCCTTAAGCTGGAAAATAAATTAGAAAAATAGAAAAAGTCCCTTTTAAAATAGCACTTCAGGATCCATTTAGATAAAACCAACATTCCAGTGAACCAATCCAGAAAGATCCGTAATGCACTAGCCCTCATTTGGGTTTGCCTTTTTTTAAGCGACATCATGATGCTCTTCAAAATAAAATTGAAAGATTGTGATTTTACAGAAGAATAAGGCAGTGAAGAAATAGATCTTAAAAGCAGTATGGATGCTCCCTGGTGAGTCATGAAAAGTACTGGAATAGATAAAGAAACTGGACAAAAACTGGTGCAAAATGTACCATGGGTCTTATGCTGTATATAAATACCTTAAAAACTCTCTTTTAAAGAGAGTCTTTAAAACGGACAGTTTTTAAGGTATTTATATGTAACATCAGACTCATGGTACAACCATGTTCCTGACATACATTAACACTTCTCTGGTTTGAGGGAGTAAAGAATCATTAAACCAGCTACTGGACTGTGACAGTGGAGTTGCAAAGTCAGGTAGACTTACTGCCCCTCGCCAACGCAATTCAGGTATCATAAACCTCTGGTCACGACGGGATTTGTTAACGCCTCGCTGCGTTTCCTTCGGGAGAGGCAATCCCATGCCCTGCCACCGTTACAGCTCGTCCATGAAGGGCCTCAACCCAGCACCAGGCTTTACACGGGGGCAAGTTTACCTGTTGCCGCACCCTTTGGTCCATCAGCAGCTCCAGCCTCTCCCGGGGATGCCGCTACCGCAGTCGGAACGAAACCAGGCGCCGCTGCGGCGGGGCTTGCGGGCAAATTCAGCTGCGGGGCTTCAGTCACGGTGGGGGGCACTGGGCACACAAAACCGAGTTTGATTAAGCACTCCAAGATGGGAGCGAAGAGCTTCCTCTTCTGGAGTTGCCAGGAGGTGACTCACCCTCTCACGGCGCTGCCTGCAGCAGCACCCCTGATGAGTAAGCTCCCCCACTTCAGCATCCCAGAAGGATCAGACCAAACCAGAAGTGGGTTTTATTGTCAATTTTCAGAAATTGGCGCAATCCCTAGGGAAACACTTGTAGCTTGAGAGAGGCAGCTGCTGTGACAACGTTGAGCAACGTTCAGTTACAGAGCAGCCCGGCTCGACCCTGAGCCCCAGGCAGAGCCACCAGCTCCAGAAACACTTCCTACCTAGGATGAGAGTTAGACAACTCTCTTCTTCGACTGCTCATCAGAATCAGCAACAAAGATCCCATTACGGATTGAATACCATAATATACACGCAACTGCAAAGGAATTACGCCTCAATGGAGCTTCAAAGATTTAACTGTAAGCAGAATCTAAAGATAATTGGACACAATACACAGGTTTTCAGTTAGAATTTAATTTCAAATTCTGTTGATTATACATGAGCCAAAATTATGCCTGTTGGTGCCCTCAGCTGCACCGACCCTTCGAAGCAGCAGACACGAGAGCTGGGACTTACCACTCAAGTCAGCAGCTTTGACTCTCAGTGTGTACAAAGACTAGAATCCTTGACAGCAGTAAAGTCCCAGCTTTAGAGTTTCTTCTCAAGAGTAAATTTTATTCATCCTATTTACTATTTTAGTGTCAAGCAACGCTTGAACACACACCCCAACTCGAAATTAAGGTACCTTCAGTGTAATGGAAACACAGAGAATGGAGACACACTCTGAAATCCACACAACTTGCAGCTGAACATATTTTTTTCTGCACACATCTACATCTGCTAACTTAATTCCCCAGAACCCATGAAAGGGCATGCTTTCAGCGGGCTAAAGCCCTACTACACAGTATGCCTCCATAAGGGCATGCCACTAATACCTACTGACGGTTGGGCTGCAACTGCATATATTAAATTTGTTACCCTAAATTAGAAGTAAACAGTCTATAAAAATGAAGGGTTCTCTCCAGCCCTTACAGCACTAAACCAGAAAATACGTGTTAAATAGCATCGTATGGATGGAAAACTGCCCGTGAGGCAGCCCCGTGCGCTGGCAGCCCAGAACCCACCCGTGCCCTGGGCTGCAGCCAGAGCAGGGGGGGCAGCAGGGCCAGGGGGGGGATTGTCCCCCTCTGCTCCGCTCTGGGGAGACCCCCCTGCAGTGCTGGGGCCAGCTCGGGGGCCCCCAACAGCAGAAGGACCCGGAGCTGCTCGAGCGGGGCCAGAGGAGGCCACGGAGATGCTGGGGGGGCTGGAGCAGCTCCCCTGGGGGGCCGGGCTGAGAGAGTTGGGGGGGTTCAGCCTGGAGAAGAGAAGGCTCCGGGGAGCCCTTCGAGCGGCCTCCCAGGGCTTAAAGGGGGGACAGGAGAGGTGGGGAGGGACTCTGGGTCAGGGGGTGGGGGTAGGACGAGGGGGGACGGGTTTAAGCTGCCAGAGGGCAGATTTAGGTGAGATCTAAGGCAGAAATTGTTCCCTGTGTGGGGGGGGAGGCGCTGGCCCAGGGTGCCCAGAGCAGCTGTGGGTGCCCCCTCCCTGGAAGGGTTCAAGGCCAGGTTGGACGGGGCTGGGAGCCCCCTGGGCTGGGGGAAGGGGGCCCTGCCTGGGGCAGGGGGGGGCACTGGGGGGGCTTTGAGGTCCCTGCCAGCCCAAACCAGTCTGTGGATCTGTGATGATTCTGTGATCTCTCTGAAACACACATTTCTGTTCTACATTGATCTGAGAACCAGAAATGGTGTTTTTCCTGGTCAGGTCCCACATCACTCCTTTACAGCCTCGTGTTTCTTGAAAAGGCTGACAAGGAGAGAAGCTCTGATTCTGCTGTTCAGAAACTCTCCATAGACAGTTCCTGCAGATCAAGTCAAAACTACAATTACCTGGTGGCTCAACGAAGAAAGAGGCATCTGGTCCCTTCGTGTCATGCTGAGCTCCCATCCAATGTTCTTCAGGCACTATGGAAAACAAATACCTTGAGCCCTGCCACTGACACTATCGCAGCTTTATTTTATCAGTTGAAGGTATTGACTGTGCTGTTTTGCCAGTTCATTCTCAGGTAACTCTTCAGTTCCCATTAAGAACGGTACCAGAACATCATGTTCTTCCGTGACTGTTGCTACTGAAAGCTTGCATCAGAGAAGAGTTATAACCAGCACTGAGGCCAGGACCCAGCAGAGCAGGTTCTTTCCTCAATTCTTCTATGCAGCTGGCTCTAGGTGGCCCTGCCTGAGCAGGGGATTAGGACAAGACGACCTCCAGACGTCTCCTTCCAACCTCAACCGCCCTGTGATCTCCTTACATCTTCACAACATCCACACTGAACCACTGTCATTGCCAATACGGTATTTTCTAGTCTTGAGTCATGTTATGTATCAACTCCCCCCACCAAGATTCTTTAGGACTAACAAACCAAGATTTTCCAGCTGCACACCCTTCAAGCCCAGCTAGCAAGACAGACAGTAACAGCAAAACATGTTTCTTACCTGCTTTGTCTTGCAGAAATTCTGCAGTTGAATCCAGGCCAATGAAGGCTGATGGGTCTAGAGCCTCTGCAGGAGAATACAGGGGCCCCAAGAAAGGTTGTTCAGGTGCCATCAGAGACCCGTGTGGTGCTAATGAAACAAAAGACCATTTGTTAATCACCACGCTAGCCCTAATGACTCCCCTCCAAATTTTAAAGTCTGTACAACACTTGGAAAATAAACTATTCTGTTCCGCTCACAAGCAGTCTAGATAAAGTTTGTAAGTACCTCTCAGGCAGCTCACCTTTACAAACTGCACTGGAAGTTATGTACGTATGGAACTTTTTAACAAGGTGTAAGACAGTAAACACAGGCAAACTATTTCCCTTTTGCTTTCTGCTTCTGCTCTCATCAATTTTTGTTATTAACCAGTTAAACTCCAATAATCCCAAAACTGAAGACCGCTTTGTGGAAAAAGTTCATGTGTACTTGGTTTCTAGCCATGAAGACAAGGTAACTCCTTGTCTCTCGCCATTGGTAACTCCTGCTCCAACTCAACTCGTCTAGATGTCCTACCTCCTTCTGCCTAAATAGATTTAAAAAAAACGCCTCCCTAGAAGTAGCCATTGGAGTGGCTTTAGGTACACACAGAAAAAAAAAAAATAGGAAAAAAATCATGTTAAGAGATTATATAGTCTGTGCACTTAGCAGCTTAATACTTTTCAGTACGTGAAAGTCAACAGAGAAAATACCAAAACCCGCCCAGCAGGGACAAATGCCGAGGAGGAACTCACCATAGATGTCTCTGGAAGCATCAACATGGTCCATGAACAGCGGCACATTCTTCATGTCAGCAGGAAATGATAATTCAGGAAGGTTTTCCCCTCTGTGCATGCTGAAGGGGTCTGGCGGGAGACAAGAATGAGGTTGGTGTCACCACAGAGGGGAAGATCTGCTGCAGAGTAAGATTATTTTAAAAACAAGATGAACATGCGCCTGCCACCACCACCGGACTTCCGAGGGAAAGCTGCTTTCACGATTATTTACCAGGGACAAACACCTTGGTAACTTGAATTTCTGCCCAAGAGTAGAACACGGTTGCTCAGTCTGCTTCTAGGGAAAACTGACTGAAATTTAGATGATGGCTGCTGCATGGAGAACCTGTCTCCTCCGCTCAGCGGGGAAGAATCTTCTTCTGACCTGATGGACACAAGTCAGGAGCAGCGGGTGAGCCCCGGCTCAGTTAACAGCAGACCGAGGAAAGGCTGTGTAAGCTACACGCTCTCCTCCCCAAGAACAGTACACCAGTATCAACTGAGTGATGGGCCGGTATTTTAACTGAGTTACAAGCCCGAGAGGGAAATATCACATTTCTCAGGGCCCCGGGCAGACGAGCAGCCGTCGCCCTCAGTTCCCGACCAGACGCACTTGGTGAGGCTCTCAGGACCTTCAGTCCGTGTTTGCACGTTGTCTGGTGTCAGATTTGGTCAGTGTAACGTGTGTTGGCCTTGTTCTGCTCTTGGTCTGTGCTTTAAGGGAGTATATCGATGTCGTCTGCAAAAGATGGTACTCCAGCAGCTGATGATTCAGCAAGAGAAAATTCCTTTTCTGCAAGTTCTATTCTTTTGTGTGCACGCATCTCCTTTCCCCTCAAGTAACCAGCATGGGCATTCAAACTAGATGGGACAGAGAGAACCATCGGGCTGGGTTTTAGAAAATGGATTACTTAACTGAAATGCCATGAGTCACCGAGTAGACAGATGACCTCACTGACAGAATAAAACAAAGAAAAGATCTCCCTTCCACCAGTTAGTCACTGTACTGAACTACAGTCAAGGGCAAGACACTGCAGGGGGAAGGCAACATGGCATTCCTCTCTCAAACAAATTAGTCTGCAGGTTACAAACCCCTGGATGCGTTTTATGATGGATGGTCCCTAACACATCTGGCTGGCTCATGCCAGACACACGTTGCATTTCTCTCCAGACAGGCACAGCCGAGCAATGAGAGGCTTCGACTCAAGTGGCCTCTTGCAGACGGGTGACATTTCTCACACCTCTCTCTCACGTTGCATTACCCAGGAGCTGAAGAACTCTCTGTCCCCGAAATGGCTGCCACACGCTGATTTCCCGACACTGCACAGATTTCCTCTGGTTAAGCACAATGAAGAGGGATTCGGTTGAGGGCTGTTACTCATTTTTATGTCAGGCATGCCGTGGGGATGACAGCCAAACTTCAAAGGTTCACGGTGCTCCAAGATGTCAAGACCAGGTGAGCTGCACAAATTCTTTCATAAACCTATCAGACTATCTGAGATGCCAAGACAGTGTCTGTCTTCAGAATAAATTATAGGATATTTTAATTTCGAGCTGTTTAGAACAGTATTACCAAGACGAAATAACTGCCCTTTTCTCCAGTAAAAACAAACAAACAAAAAACCCACCCCAAAAAACCCCAAACCCACAAAAAAAGCATCATGACTGAAACCAATTTAAAAACTAAATGAGATGCTGATGATCCTCCCTCTTTGTCCCGCAGTTAAATGATGTGGCAAAAAAGGGCGATCCAGATTAAACCCTGTCTCTGCTCCAGAGGAAGAAAGAGGAGAAGTGGAAGGAGTTGTATCTGCACTCCTGTCTCCCATCTCCAAAGATCCCCACAGCCCCAGGTGGGCTTGTGCCCTACTCCAGTTTGGGCATTTTGTGACTGGTGAGCGATGTCACCCTGCTGATGGCAAAACACATTGCTGCTGCAAACTGGGAGGCAGGCAGGTAAGGATGAACTGTGTGGATGGGGTATAGCCAGCTCAGGAAATCAGCAGTTCTTGCATTAAATGAGCCCTGAAAATAACTCCCTACTTGCTCAGAATTTGCAGGTTGCTTAGAGTATTGTGAAGGCAGACAAATGTTGAGGACCTGAGAGTATTGTTCCTAGACAGCTGCAGGCAAGACCAACAAAACATTTATGAAAGTTTCTTTTCAGCTCGTTTCCATAGACACTTGTATCCTTGGCTGTTCAGAGACACAGTCCCAATTTGCCAGTGACTGTGGACTACTAAGAGCATATTAGCGTAGATCATTTCCATAGGAACTCTTCATGTTTAGGAATTTACCTGTAGTTACAGTGATAAATCATGATACACTTGTGGATAAGGGCCTTGCAGCACTTTCAAAGCTTGCAAGCAATTAGATGTTTGAGTTTTATTCACTCTACGTTACAATAACAGTTTTCAAACAAGTCTTTTTACTACAGGTAGTATGTAAAAATAGATGTGTACCTTTTTGCTCCTAGCTGTTGCTTTCAGAGGGTTGGGTCCCACTGCCAGATCCCAATGCAGCGTTTGCAACACCTGACAGCAAAGTCCAGAACAGACTCAAACACACTTTCAGCTGCTCACGGAAGAGCCAGAGCTGGCATTTCCCACATTTCTCACCACGGAGGAGGGAACTACAGCACTGCTGCTCAGGAGACCTGTTACACCACTGACCGGAGAATTCTCTCCTTGGGAGGGAAATCATCCTACTGTTTTCCAAAGAGCGCGCATAAAAACCTTTCATAAACCCACAGACTTTTACGAGTCCACTGTTCACATTTTTCTCCTTCTGCTAACAGGCCCTTACAGCTTGTCCATCTGCCCGGATCCCTCAGCTCCGCTGTGGGAATCGACTCCCCTCTAAGCAGACTCTTGTTTGCACAGTTCCAGGGAGAGCCCTGGGGAGGAGTACTTTCCTACTGAAGTACACGTGGCACTTTATGCATGCACAGCTGTGCAAGGCACTCGGACACGAAACCCAAGGAAATGTGGTCTCATGCAATAGAGAACTCACAGATTGACATTATTCAGGCCAAAAGAATACTGGGTGATAGGCTAGGTATGTAAATTGCTCCTGATCACCAAGTTTGTCATCGGGCTATTGAGCGTAACTACATCAACATCCCATTCTTTCACCTAACAAAGCGAAGAGAGGGAAAAACCCAACAACTGTGTTTTGGAAACTAGTGGCTCCTTTGTGCCAGTCGCTCCACAAATCACTTCTTACCCTTGTAACGATATATTCACTTCTCCACAGAATCTCTTAGTAAATATGAGATTCAGATAGCAAGAAAATAATTTAGTAGGCATGTCTACAGTGCTCAAAAATATATATGAAAAAACTTTCCTCCTGTTCCAGCCAGCATCTTTCCCAGGTTTATTGCCTGTTATAATCTGGGCAGCACATAGCTTTCTCACGCCCTCCAAGCGCTAGCAAGTGATTTCCCTTAAGCTTTCTCCAAAATGAGAGAAAACTGGGCGAAAGCTGTTGGGTGAAAGGGTATTTTTTTGCAGGGGCAAGCTATATAAGGTTCATTTAATTTTCAAGAGAGTCAGCAGCTACACAGGCTGCCTCGGGAACAGGCCGACCTGCATAGCAGACACAGCTACGTGACAGCTGGAACTGGCATTTCTGGGAGCCGGGGAAGACCGGCTTTCAGCCGTCAACCACTTCGGCGGGGTTTGGACTGAAAGCCACAGTAGTCAGCAGTGGTTAAATGGTGGGAGTCAACCAGAAACTGCTATCGCCATGGGAGCCAAGGCTGGGGGAAGCCTGCTCACCCACACGCTGTGTACTCGAACACGCCGGACTAACAACTCCATTTCTAACCAGCTAGACTGTGCCCTAGGGCCAGTGAGGGGCTTGATGTGCAAAGTTAACTCCGGTGTCAAGATGTTACACGTTTTAGGAAAACAGAGCAACACATCCTGAAGAACACAGGCATGAGTGCAAGGCAAGAGAGGAAAACCACCCTTAGGGACAGAGGCGAGGACTCTATCACGTTGCACAACTGATAAAACAACGGGCGCTGCAGTTTTAAGAGTGCTACAGTCATACCAGCCATCTCCACGGGTTTGTACCCGGGCTGTGACCCAAAGCACAGGTCTCTGTCATCCACTGTCCAGGAGTCATTGCGATCGAGGAATTCTTGGTAAGACAGCTTTTCATCCATGATTTCTCCTGGGAATACTGGAATTAGAGAAGAAAATGACACAGTCAGAAGCGAAACATTAATCTGAAATATTTAAAATCGATTACTGCATGATATGGTGTTTAGAGGGCAACAGAGAACGTGAACTGTTAGCCAAACCAGAGACCACAAATGCTCTGGGGTTTTACTGCTTTGATTCAACTCTTCAAATATAAGGAACAGAATAATGGGGATTTCTGCATCTCGATACACATGTAAGATCCAGAACAGACTCGCACATCAGAGCACTGTCCTGTTTTCAAATGTTGGACAATTAACGATAGCTCCTCACACTCATCTTTAGAGAGATTTTTTCATTAATGTACAAGCTGGAACAGCCCTGAGACAATGAGCTTGAGAGGCTGAGCAAAGCTTTTGAGTCTCAATACAGAAATGCTGAACACAACTTGCTCCTCATCAGGTCACAGCAGGGAGGAGGGGAAACCAAAGCCCCTGCCCCGGCAGCAGTTTGCATGTGCTGAATCTGACCGTATTTACAAAAATGTTAGTACCACCACCCCCACACAGTGCCCACAGGATGGGTTTTCTCTCTATTTTACAAGGAATACAAACTCCAAATCATTTAAGACAGTAACTTTTCCCTAAACACCTCAATAGCCTTTATTTGTATATCTTTACATTTCACACTTGGGCCTAACCTTCCCCCAGTTTACAAATAAAGACAGTTCTCTGAACACATCAACACAACAAAGCGTAAGGGCTTATACCTGACCAAGGAAAATGTCAATCTTTCTTTGCTGGCCTGTGTTAAAAACAACGGCACTGAGACTAACAGCCTTCACAGCAATTTGAGATGTTAGAGAGCGTCAAGTATTTTATCAGCGAAGCCTTAGCAGGCACCTCTCACAGCCTATAAATGTCTCACAGAGAAATGCATGGAAACAGAGAACTTAGACTACATAAGACAAAACTATTGAAATAAGGTTTGTCACAAGGAGTATGGGAAACACGCCGATCGGCCTTTTCCTGAAGTCCTTACAAAGCAGTTGGAAGACGTTTAGAAAACCAAAGCAAGAAAGCTGAGCTGTCAGCTGAGACGCCCTCCAGCAGCAGCACTAAGCCACGCCGTGGGCTCTCCTCTTCCTCACCTGCTGTGCCTGGCATTTCATTTTTTTTTTTTTTTAGTAACACCTCCACTTTGCTCCAGCCTCTTCACTTCTCCCAGTGTGGCACCTTGGGATGAACCGCTGGACAGCGAGAGCCTGTAGCCCCCCTGCCACGACGTACGGAAGGGCTGGCAACAGCCCCAGCGGCACCAACATCTTCGTGAAGAAGGAGATTCCAGTGAGGCCGGGATTTCCAGCCCCCGGCAGTGCCACAGGCCTCTGGGGGAGGCTGGCCCACCCCCACGCCCTGGGAGGAAGCTGTGGATATGAAGGGAGCCACACACGCGTCTAGCCCGACCGCTCGTTTGGGGTTTTTAACACTTCAGCTTTAAATGACCTCAACAGAGCGACAAAAGCAGCAGCCAGTGGTAATGGCCAGGATGGGAAAAAGCACCGAGGCATGAATGAAGTCGTCCTTGTGAAAAAGGGATGTATCAATACGTGCAGCATGTGAAAGCAGCTATACAGGAGCTAACGCTCACGAGGTTTGATTTACAGTTACAACTGACACGCATAAACCCCCGCACTTCGGCTGTGTCAATACGGCTGCCCTGCTGCAGCTCCCTCAGTCTCAGCTGTTACTGTAAAAAGCCCAGTTGTTTCAGCTTTCAAAGACATTTCCAGATATTGTATTTGTACAAAAGAAGCAAAAATATAAGTCTTAAAGTTCTCAAATATGACAAAAACAGTGGAAAGGTTCAAAACCAATACCCAGACTCATGACTTTTCAGACAAATTTTAAGGAGATTCCAATTTATCAACTCTTCTATCAACAACCTGAAGCCTTCAAACTGATTTCCAGTTTCTTTTGGGAAGAAACACAAAAAATAAGACAAATTCCTTCTCATCCCCTAATGCAATATTCTGCTCTCACTTGCCAATGCATCTCTTTATGCTTTTAGCATTTTTACCTTCATTTCAGCTAACGGTACCACTTGCAAGATTGTAACCCAGGAAAGGGAATTGATTGTGTGCCTCAAAAAAGATCAATGAAGATGATCCTTCATTCAGTGCAAAACTGCGGTTAATAAAAGCATCCAGTGCTAACACACAGAAGGAACAGAATGGAGGAAATTATTAAAAAACACAACACTCGTGTATAGAAAAGCGACAAGCGCTGTCTCTTCTAGGAGGCAGGGATAGCAGCTGGTCACAAACAGGGAATTCACAGCAAGGTGGAACAGAGATTCATAGAGAAACTGTAAAAATTCTAATAATAATAACAAAGTGATTGAGAAAGAATAAGATGAAAGAGGGCTTTTGTGGAGTTTTTTGTTTGTTTTACATCACCAAATAATGAAACTATACCGGTACAAATCAATCAGTGCTTCCAGCAATTTCATCGGAGTGTTTGTTTTTACAATAGCAGGAGGTGATTCAGTGAAGTCAGAAACATGTCAAAATCTCAATTAGTATATAAGTACTACTTCTCATAATGAAACTCCGAGCTCAATGCCGTACAGCATCCCTGGGGTCAAAACCTTTGCAAGGTCAGAGGCGTATGACGCTCTGCATATTCCTATTTTGAGTCATTAAAAACAATACATATTGGCAGGGATTTCACGGAAAACCCCCAGGAAAGGCAGACGAATTAGTGAGCTTTAACTCCCTCCGAGGCGTTGCAGGAACCGGGACGGGGCAGCCAGGAGAGGGACAGGACCCGGCCGGCCCGTCCCCGGCTCCGTCCCAGCCCCGGGGAAAGGGGGGGTGGTTCCAGTTCCCCCAGTACTGCCCCGACTGGGGGGGCCGGGGGGCCCCGCTGCCCTGGGCCCAGAAACGCTCTACCAGACACGCCGGGAGAAGTGGGGCCGGATCCTCGGAGGGCACTGCGACAGACTATTCACAGGACTGCTCACAGCACCAGCGTCTGAACTTGGGTGCCCTGCGAGAAACAACCCGACAAGCACCACACTGGAAACGTGCTTTTTTCCTACCGAAATTCAAAATACAAAATTCAAAATTCAACCTGCCAGCCACGGGTTGGGTACTGGCACACCACAACAAGATGGGCACTAACTATGGAAAGCGATATCATCCTCTAACAGAAGTTCACAATTGTAGGAGAGTTCCTATTCAGATTCTGATCCAACTAAATAGAAACAAAATGCATTTATTTTTTACTCTTACATGCGCTCCGAGGGCCAGAGAATGGGAATTCAAAGTATAACTCTAGTAAGCACAAGATCTTTTACTACTTCACTTCTGCGTAAAGACCACCAAGAGAAAGCGCTGAGGAGCCCCTTTTGAAGAAATTCCATTTTTGTCCATCAGCAGAGTTATTCCCACCTCTCGTGCTATAACCCTGCAGATGCTGCAAGCGTCCTAAAGCAGCGCCGATTTGGCAAGCGGACGCCGCTTTTCTGCCGGTGGCTTTTGGCTGTTATTCCGCTAAGCGACTGCATTTGACACGGTTGACTTCAGCAGAGAGGGTACAGAAGCTTCCCAGGCCAAGCTCTCCGACAGCCCTGCTTCCCCCGGGCCAAGGACGAGGTATAACCGCGTGCGAGGGGTGACAGGCGACGGCGCTAACCCCCTCGTGCTCAGCAGGAACATCAGCCCAGGCCACGCTGGCTGATCCCGGAGTCTGGGGGCAGCTTCAAGGCTGACCATTTAGCAGGAAATATTGTATTAAGACAGACAATGATCGTTTAGATTTGCAAAGTACTTTGAAGATAAAGCGCCACTACACGTGTCAAGAGACATTATTATTTGTGGCTCAGAATAGCAAGAAATTTAACTATATTCTACTGGAAGTTCTTCTGGACAGAAGCCTGTCATTCGTTTATCTATAAAATTCCATTTAAATCAAAAAAAAACCCAGGAGACTCTAAACGTTTTTGTCAGTGTGAGGAAGAGGCCTGGAAGCAGTTAAGAAAATTTGACACGGAATTTCTCAATGATGACTTTAACTGATTTTTTGTGATTGGACCCATGCTAAGCCTGATCAACTGTAGAGCACACACTGATTGAACTCTAAATATTTTAACTAAATCTGCTAGGACTAGACCACAAACACATATTGGCATATTGCTATTATTAATAGATCTCACAGGGTAAGAACATAGAATTAGGGTCACAAGGTAAGCCAGGAGTAAAACCTCCACCTTTTTTTTTTTCTCCTTGTAGACCAGTTGCATTCATGCCTTTACATAAAGACGGAGGGAATTCTCCCTCACCCATGCACCTTGCTGGAAGAGCAATGAGCAGGACGGTAAGGCAGCAGACAAAAAGAAGTGGAAAAGGAAACATTTACATGTGACATCAGGTGAAATCGAACGTCTGTAACAGCTGAGCAAAACTCTATTGGTGCTCGCAAACCCTCACCTCTAGCACTCGCCGCAAAAGCCAGATGAGATGATTCAAAAGCAGCTGTGAATCGCCTCTGCCGAATCGCCAGAAATACAGGCTTGCACAGTTTTCACACGGTGCTTTGATAACAGAGGCTAATTAAAGAACCAAACGCAGCCCCCCGTTGCTCTCCAGCAGAAAGCCAGAGGCGAGGAGGAGGGCGGTTGGGCGCGCCAGCAGCCGCGTTCGCTGCCCACGCTGATCTTGGCTACGCGAGCGCACGCGGGGACCAACGAGCGCCGTGTCAAAAACCAGCGTTGGCAAACACGCCCCGGCTGCTCCCCAAGTGGTTTTCCAAGTTACTTGCCATGCAGCTAGAGAGCGGACACTCCCAGCTGATTTGTTGTCCCCCGTGCCAATATTCAGTTCCTCCTTGTTCAAGCAAGCTTGGGGGAGCGCGGGAAACATGATTGCAGAACCAGGGCCACAAGGACTGTAGGAAAGAGGATTTTTTCAGTTCCAAACCCAGGTCTGCAGACCCTCCCAAAACACACGGTCTGCATGTGGTCGACAAATAGAAGACA